AGTTATATATGAGTGCTTATAAAACTACAACATTTACCTGCCTTCAATCAACCAGCTTATGCTCTCGTATGTTTTATTTATTTTATTTTATTTTATTTTATTTTATTTATTTTATTTTATTTATTTTATTTTATTTTATTCTTTTTAGTTTTATTTTGTTTTATTAGTTTTGTGTTTTTTTTTGGTTGAGGGTTTTAGTTTTATGGGTGCTTATAGAGCTGCAGCATCTACCCGCGTTCAATCAGAACTGCTGCTGCTGCTGCTGCTGCTGCTGCTGCTGCTGCTGTTGCTGCTGCTGACATTGCTGTTGCAGCTGCTGTGGCAAGCAGGGTTTAGGGTTTAGGGTTTAGGGTTTAGGGTTTAGAGTATGTCTTCGGGTGTATCTGCAGGTAGAGAAGGCGAAGCTTTGTCTCGATGAACCATCACACTGGGTTGCTGGTTAGTTTCCTGCTGCTGCTGCTGCTGCTGCTGCTGCTGCTTGTGCTACTGCTGCTGCTGCTTGTACCGCTTCTGCTGCTCCTGCTCCTCTTGCTTCTGCTGCTGCTGCTGCTTGTGCTGCTGCTGCTTGTGTGGTGGTACTGCAGCTGCTGCAGAGGTGTAGGCATATAGAAGGTTGCTGACATGAAGCCTGTGCTGCTGTTGCTGCTGCTGCTGCTGCTGCTGCTGCTGCTGCTGTTGCTGCTGCTGCTGCTGCTGCTGCTGCTGGTTTCAGGTGTGCAGCTGCTGAACTCGCTGGATATGGAGGCTCTAGCAGACGGCCCGCAGTGGCAGCAGCCGCAGCTGCAGCAGCAAAGTCTGCAGCTGCTGCTGCTGAAGGCGAAGCTGCTGCACCGCTTGCATGCATCGAATGAGCCGGAGCAGCACCCGGGTTTATCCAGAGACGGTGTGCTGCTGCTGCTGCTGCTGCTGCTGCTGCTGCTGCTGTTCTTGCTGCTGCTGCTGCTGGTGCTGCTGCTGGTGTTCTTGCTGCTTCTGCTGCTGCTACTTTGTTCGTTGCTGCTTCTGCTTCTCTTGCTGCTGCTGTTGGGCCTGCTGCTGCTGCTGCAGCAAAAGCAGCAGCAGCAGCAGCAGCAGCAATCAGCAGTTTCAGTTGCTGCTGCATTCGTGTATGCAGCAAATTGTATAAACCGTTTCATATATATAAACACTCTCCTAATTCTGCTGCCGCTGCTGCTGCCGCTGCTGCTGCTGCTGCTGCTGCTGTTGCTGCTGCTGCTGCTGCTGCTGTGCTGCAGAGCTGGCGAAGGAAGCAGAGTCAGTGCTGCGGACGGTGCTGCTGCTGCAGCCTTTGTATGGCCCCGCCTGGCTGTGTTGGGGGAAGCTGCACGACACCCTATTCTTAGCAGCTCTGAAGCAGCGGCATCACCAGCAGCAGATGCTGCTGCAGCAGCAGCAGCAGCAGCAGCAGCAGCAGCAGCAACAGCAGCAGCAGCAACAGCAGCAGCAGCAGCAGCAAAATACAAACCCGCAAGCCATGCAGCAAGATGCACCCACAACAGACTCAACCAACAGCAGCAACAACAACAACGGCAACAACAACAGCAGCAGCAGCAGCAGCAGCAGCAGCAGCAGCAAGAACGACAGCAGCTATTCAGATGTTACAGATTGGGCCGCGCTGCAGCTGCATCTTGCTGCAGCAGTAACGGGATATGTTATGGATATACAGCTCAGGTAATTAGGGTTTAGGGTTTAGGGTTTAGGGTTTAGGGTTTAGAGGGTTTGGGGTTTTGGTTTTTGTCTGCACTCGGCCATCATCTTTTTCAGATCTATCACTCCAGGGTTTAGAACCAAGGGTTTAGGGTTTAGGGTTTAGGGTTTAGGGTTTAGGGTTTAGGGTTTAGGGTTTGTGTGCAGGCCAGCAAAGAGCTCGCTGTATATGTCTAGGGTTTTGTGGTTGCTGTCTTACGATGGAGATACACGTCCCCCTTCTGCTGCAGCAGCAGCAGCAGCAGCAGCAACAGCAGCAGCAGCAGCAGCAGCATCTCCCTTGGATCCTGCAGTAGCTGTTGCTGCTGCTTTTGCTGGGGCCCCCGTTGATGCTGCTAGCAACCCAGCAGCAGCAGCAGCAGCAGCTGCTGCTGCTGCTGCTGCTGGCTTGTCTTCACCTGCTGCTCCGAACGATACGCCGCAGTCCTCAGGAAGCGGCGGGGGTGGTTCTGCAGCAGCAGCTCCAGCAGCAGCAGCAGCAGCAGCAGCAGGAGCAGCAGCAGCAGCAGCAGCAGCAGGAGGAGGAGCAGCAGCAGCAGCAGCAGGAAGAGAATCCTCACTCTGTCTTCGTGTATTCAGACAGCTCATGGGCAAATGCACGCAGCCGCAGCAGCTGCTGCCGTGGCTCCCCCAGATGCTAACAGGGCTTGAGAGACCTGTATGCTGCTGCTGCTGCTGCTGCTGCTGCTGTTGCTGCTGCTGCTGGTGTTGCTGCTGCTGGTGGTGTTGTTGCTGCTTGCTGCTGCTGCGGTGCGGGTGCTGCCGATGTATGTGTTTCTCCTTGAGTGCTGCTGCTGCTGCTGCTGCTGTTGCTGCTGCTGCTGCTGCTGCTGCTGCAGTGCATCAGGTATACGGTGTGTACAGTACAAACTATGGTTGCGTTTGCTTTTGCTGCTGCTGCTGCTGCTGCTGCTGCTGCTGCTGGTGCTGCTGCAGGAAGCAGCAGAGCTGGAGCGGCTTCTGTACGCGCTGCTGCTGCAGGCGCCGCAGCAGCTTTACTTCGACATAAGAACGGCTTACTTAGAGAAGAGAGAGCAGTATGCGCAGCAGCAGCTGCTGCAGACGTTGAAGCCGCAGCAGCAGCAGCTGCTGCTGCAGCACCAGCAGCAGCAGCAGCAGCAAAGCCTCACACTACTCTCCTGGCTGATGACTGTATTCAGAGCTTCCTTTACACCCCAATGCATCGCTCTAGATCATCTTGCAGGCAAGCATAATCAGGGTTTAGGGTTTAGGGTTTAGGGTTTAGGGTTTATTGTTTCCTCTCACCTATATCCTGTTTTCTCCTGTCTCCTGTCTCCTGTCTAGGGTTTAGGGTTTAGGGTTTAGGGTTTAGGGTTTAGGGTTTAGGGTTTAGGGTTTAGGGTTTATTGTTTATTGTTTCCTCTCAACTGTTCCCTGTCTCCTCTCTATGCCCTAGTGTTTCGTGTTTAGGGTTTAGGGTTTAGGGTTTAGGGTTTAGGGTTTAGGGTTTAGGGTTTCGTGTGTGTGTATACAGAGGAGCTGGTAGCGCAT